AGCAAACCTGTTTTATTTTGCATTCACATTGTCAGCTATATTATCTGAGATGGCGGTAGGCAGGCAGAGAAGTTACTAAAAGCTGTAGGCTGCTAGCTCCCAGCGGACTGCAAACTTCTATCTGATTATACTTTCCCATTAACTTTGCCTCAAGTTGCAGTCTCAAACTCCCTGCGGCACAGCTGCATAAATTGCAGACGTTTAAGAAAGATGCATATGCAGCTTAGCCCAAGCAGTGTGGGCTCTGACACCCAAGTAAGTTCCTCTGCATCAGGTACACTGATATAATTGTGCTTGTGCAGCAAACGTTGAGGTCATTTATCCTTCTCTCATTGAATTACTCTGCAGTCTTCTCAGGATACAGGCGTCCAGATATAAAGCTATTAGGGAACAACCGACATACAGTAATATATGCATCAGTGCCCTGCATGTGGACACACCTTGTCATAAAAACCCATCCAGCATGAGACAAGTCTGTTACGGATTCATCTCTATGGGGTTTAAACCAGTGCAGCCTTGCATTTAGATCTAGCCCTTATACACCATAAAAATTACATCAGAAGACAAGACTTACAATGTTTGTCCCACGCATGCTGGGTTCATCTTCGTTTTCTAGGCTGGATTTAATTACATTCATTAACTTTGCTAAAGCTTTCAACAGCGGGGCTGCAATACTGTTTGAAAACTTGGTAAAACCAACCTATGCTCAGACCTATAGTGCAGAACCAATACAGGGTGGAGAAAGAGGGCACAAATCGCACTAACTTTAAGCCTTCAACATTGCTTTTATCAGAACGCAGAACAGGCACTTCGATATATCTCTGTGCAAGAGCAAATCAGGGACACAGCTGGAACTGTAACACACAAAATTTTGATTCCTGCTTTGATCTTCAGCCCATTAGATCATGCTGCTTCTAAAATATCCGTGGATATGATTCAACAAATCCATGAGGGTGGGATTTCTTTTTTTCTATTTAAAAAAGAAGAAACCGAGTTGATTAGCTCTCTGTACTACAACTGTCTACCAAATCAACTTAGTATTAAAAACTACAGCTGCACATGATACCTAAACACCAAAAACTGTTCAGCAAAGTTGTTCCAGCTGCCTAGGCAGCTAAATTTTTTACATTAGATTCAAGGAGAATGCTAATGCTCTTTCTCTAATGACACCCTGAAGTGCCTCAGAGAGCTTGGCACATGGCTTAACCCTGAACAGGATCCAGAAAGCAGCATTCTCCTGCCTACTTCCATGGACGGGTTTGGTCAATAAGCATACTCTAAAAAAGATTTACTGATTAACATGAAACACAGAAAAGTCTATTTTAAAATTACAGAGTGGCGCTGCTGCAGACTTACATTTTTTAGCCCAAAATGAAGAGGCCAAAGTACACACAAGTTACAAAAACACAGGTTCTATTATCTCCTTTGTTCAAGGGGGTTCAAGCTCATAAGACTGGCTTTATTGTATCAGATCAAGGGTCCATCTTCTGCAAAACTGATCAGCTGCGCTGGGCTGCAGTTCCTCCTCCAAAATTTCTCGAGACTCTTGCTGCTTTCCACCTGGCTTGCATTTTTATTCAGTCTTCTGAAGCACCACTGAGTTGCAGAACTTTTTTGTCAGCCTTCATCTGGCCCGGACCTAGCCAACCATCCAGAGCACCAAGAGGAAGAAGCTTTGTAGGACAGATCCCAGCAACTGTGGGGCCTGTTTTTGTTCCTTTGACTTTTCACAGTTCTAAGCAAGACCACAGGGTAAAAGCCACTATCATCTTGGATACAGGGAGCTGCAGGCAATGACTGGTGTTCTTCTTGAAAGTCCCTCTGCTCAGTTTTGACTCTCTGACTCTTACCCTATTACAGTCACTGTCCCCCAAATACACTTTCTTCCCCTTGGTTTGTTTGCTACCTCTGTGCTTCAGGGAGGCTATGAGAATTGATATGTAGCTCACCCAGAGGGGAGCTTGTCCTTAATGGGAACCCAACAGGAACAGTGCCCATAAGTAAATGCTTCGTGAATGATACAGGAATAGGTGAGTATGTCATGATATTGTCCCTATTTCCCTCTCAGTCCTTAAATACAGTCAACTCAGGAGACCTCCTGAGCCTAAGGCAGGGTCTATTTAGCGGCCTTCAATGATTTTTCTTTTCTTCATGAAATCACCCAGCCTGCTGGATTTTTAACATACACATCTTTCAGCACCAAGTTCCATATACTTACTGTTAGTTGCCTAAAGAACCATCTCCTGTTGTTTTAAACCTAGCTACTAGCTTCATATGATGCTCCTTACTTCCACGAGAAAGAAAAGAGTGAATAGTAAGTTCCCACCCATTCTCTACACGCATCCCAGGATTTTGTATATTTCTATTACACCACTCATCAGCAGGCTTTTGTCCAGATGGAAGAAATCCAACTCAATTAGTTTAACTATGCTAGTAGCAAATTTTCCAGATCCCAGGAAATTCAGTGCTTATCTAAGTCCAGATATCATAAAGAGACAGATGTAAAGCACCCAGTCAAGAGGTAGGATGCAAGATTCAGTTCTTACCTTCCCCTTCACCCAGATCTGGAAAGGAAAGGAAACAAAAACAAACATCTTCCCCCCCCCCCCCCCACACACACCCCCCCCCAAACCGGAAACAGCTAAA